ACTGTCTCTGCGACTGGGGCTTCTTCCAGGAGCTGCCTCCCCTCCAACACTGCCAGGAAGCTCATCAGCTTCCTATAGATGGAAACGGGGACAGGAAAGCACCCCCCAAACCACTGCCTGTACTAGATAAGAATTTAATGGAAGATAGAGGGGAGGGTTGAGGGAGGGGGGTGGCAAACAGGAACATGAACATGTAGGAATGTATATGTGTGTGAAGCAGGGTGGTGTGTGCATGTGTATAGTATGCACGTGTGTGCACATGTGGCTGTGTGTGTATAGTATGCATGTGTGTGCATGTGTGTATAGTATGCATGTGTGTGCACATGTGGATGTGTGTGTATAGCATGCATGTGTGTGCATGTGTATAGTCTGCATGTGTGTGCACATGTGGATGTGTGTGTATAGCATGCATGTGTGTGCATGTGTATAGTATGCATGCGTGTGCACATGTGGATGTGTGTGTAGTCTGCACGTGCGTGCAAATGTGGATGTGTGCATATAGTATGCACGTGTGTGCGCATGTGGATGTGTGTGTGCATGCACTGAGTTCTTACGTAATGACCTGGAGTCCATTTGGAAAAGACAAATCTACAGAAGCCACAGTGGAAATTCCGTTTTCCATTCACGAAAAGTCTATCTTTCCTAGGCATCAAGCTTGCTTTGGATGCCACCCCCCCTCCTTCCTTCGGATGGAAGCTGAAGGGGATGCCCCTGTGTAAGCCACATCGATACTTGGAGGGACTCTGAAAGCCAGGACAGGCAGTGCTAACATTTCTGCCAAATTCCAGCTGCTGGGCCAGTTTGCAGGGTGAGCTGATGGGCGCCCAGCACAACAGTCACCGCTGAGATCACGTCTATCACTCACTCACTCACTCACTCATTCCCTCAACAAATATAGTGCCCACTGCGTGCCAAGGGCTGTTTACAACACTTAGGGATATGGCCAAGATCCTTGCCTTTAGGAAGCCTCCTCTTAGAGGAGAAGTAAGTAGGTGACTAAATAATGAAAATACAGCCAGATCACACCAAGCACTACGGCGAACCGAAGCAGGGCAGAGGGTAAAGAATGACCTGGTTGGCGAATTACATCTGAACTGCTCGCCCAGGGCTCCAGTGGCCGGGGGCTCCTTGGGACAGTGGGTTCATCAGGGAGGAAAGGACACAGGCTGATCTCATCTTTAGAAACCCACTTTGGCAGAGACCAGTCATTCGCCAGCCATATTTCCCTCTCCTTCAGGATATGGAGTTGGACTTGTTCTCCATGTCCCTTGCAATTAGACGTGGCCATGTGACTGGGCTTTGTCCAGCGGCATGTAGGCACTATTGACGTATGCCACTTGTAAGCCTCGCCAGTCCCGAGACGCTCACCCCGGGTGGCTGAATGGCTGCAGCACGGCCCACCCTGGCCCTGCCCACCAACCTTCACAGTGAGCAAGAAATCGACTTCGGTTGGGTTCAGTTTCTGAAATGCCGCAGTGCAGGTAGTCAGCCCTAACACGCACCCACCTCACTGCCTCCTTCTGCTCACTGCCTGTTCTGCAGTGACGCTCTGGGCGTGGAGGTGACCTTGTCTGCAGGGGCTGCTGGACGAGTCAGGGGGTGTGAGGAGCAGATGACAAAGTGGTTTCAAACCACAGCAATGCCACAGACCCCAGAACAAGAGAAGCTGCCACTTCCCGAGTCGGAGATGCTGGGGGTGGTTTCCTGGAAGCACGGAATTTGCAGCTTTTCTCATTCTGACACCCAAAGCCAACTTCACAATTCTTCCCCGCACATTTCTAGTTTAGAAAGGTCAGCGGCAGCGAGTCCCCAGGAGGCTGCGCCTGCACGGCCCGGAGAGCTCCCGGTGCCGGCTGCTCTCTCGGCCACATTTTCCAAGTTTGTGTTAATCAGGAGGGGCAAATTTCCCTCCTGCAAACTGGAAAACCCCGTTCCCCGTCAGGGCATTCAGATGTGGAGTAAGCTGGGCTCTCGTGGTGATGTCTTCAGGAGAAACATCCTCATCCACAGGACAACTGGACCCATCCTCACCCGAGCCCTCTGCTGGTCTGGGAGGATTCGGTCCTTTCATGGACCCTGTCCCAGCCCAGACTTCCTCACTGACGCTGCAGGAGGTCAGCCAGGCAGGAAGTGTAGGGGGTCTTTCTCTCCACTGTCCATCCGGAGATGGCGCGGGGGGCCACACGCAGCAGCTTGGGGACCCTCCTGGGACAGGGGCTGTGCCTACGTGGCCTCACTCTTTTGTGTTCCCTTTAACAAGCCTGTCTGCGGAGCAGAGCTGAGGAAGAAAGTCCCGCCTTTCAGTCCTAGATCATCAGGCTGAGAAACTCCAAGAGCCAGGGCAGCAGAATATCCCAGCTGTGCTCGGATAACAGAGATAACAGCCAGACGCTGCGGGTACCCCCTCCGTGGGGTGTAAGCAGATGAGGGCCCTCACATTCACTGCTCACTCACTCCACAAATAATGTGCCTACCCTGTGCCAGTGAGGGTGGCTTGGGCAGCCCTTTCTGGAGTTTGGGAAAAGTGATTGGCAGCTGTCAAATCATGGCCCATGGGCCAACCCAGGCCCTGTTTTTGTTTTTGTAAATAAAGTTTTATTGGAACACGGCCTGTTTTTGTAAATAAAGTTTTATTGGAACACGACCAACCTGTTAGTTGACACATTGCCTGAGGCTGATTTCACACCACAGCGACAGAAGCTGTACGGCCACAACACCTTTACCACCTGGCCCTTCACAGAAAAGGTTTGCTGACCCCAGAGTAAGATCGAAGACTGTCTACAAGGGGCATTGTGGGGGCGGCAGAAGCACAAGGCATTACAGAAGCCTGCAGAGCACAACAGAAACCCACTCCCTCTCTCGGGGGCCTTCAATCCTGACGACCTTCAAAGAGGAATCTCTGGTTGGTCCTCACGCCTCCAGCACACCCTGAAGCCCCTGCCCCACTGGCCTGGGAAACAAATCAAGGGCAGCCTCTGTTCTCTCACCTTATGCTTTTCTCTACAGTCAGCTTCTAGCCTGACAAACGGTCCCAGTGATCAAACTGTGGTTTGGTATACAATCTCCTTCGGGGATGAACAGTGTGGCGATTCCTCAAAGGCCTAGAGGCAGAACTCCCATTTGACCCACAACCCCATTGCTGAGTATACACCCAAAGGAATAGAAGTCATTCTCTTACAAAGACACATGCATGTGTATGTTCACTGCAGCACTATTCACAACAGCAAAGACATGGACTCAACCCAAATGCCCATCAATGGTAGACCGGATAAAGCAAATGTGGCACATACACACCAAGGAATGCTATATGTGCCATAGAAAGGAACGAGATCATGTCCTTTGCAGGGACACGGATGGAGTTGGAAGCCATCATCCTCAGCAAACTAAAGTGGGAACAGAAACCCAAATAACACATGTTCTCACTTCTAAGTGGGAGCTGAATGATGTGAACACACGGACACAGGGAGGGGAACAACCCACACTGGGGCCTGTGGGAGGGGAGAGGCATAAGGAGAGTATCAGGAAGAATAGCTAAAGGATGCTGGGCTTAATACCTAGGTGATGGGTTGACAGGGGCAGCAAACCACCATGGCACACGTTTACCTAGGTAACCAACCCGCATATCCTATACATGTGCCCCCAAACTTAAAATAAAAGTTGAAAAAAAATTGAATTGCTTTGAGAAGAATTTTAAGTCAATGACAACACAAGCAATGGCCGGAGGCAGCAAATCCCAGCCCTGAGGATGGCGAGGTGGGTGCAGCATGGGGGCCACGGCACTGCCATTGGCATCGTCTCTGGTGTCTGTGGTGGGCGGGAGCTTGCCCAGTGGGCCCAGGAAATGTGGGCCTGGGAAGCTCCCCTAGGATGGGGTTCCAACTCCTGGTGGCTTCCTTCAAGCTCTGAACTGCATTTCACAGGAAAATCTCCAGCCCAGCCTGGCCCTCAAGGGGTATGGGTGGCCGAGGAGAGCTGAGCCCCGAAAGGGGAGGATGCAGCAGAGGCTGGGTGCTGAGGTGGGAGGGCCGGCTCTGCAGAGAGGGCAGGTGATATGTTTGCAATCAGGTGATACCTTGGCTGGGGTGTGGAGGCACACTGCATTCACTCACACCAGAGTTTCTGCTATAAATAACCAGTCATTTTGACTGCTCCCTGGCGGGGTCCCCTGGTGGCCAAGGTTAGGGATACAAAGAATTGGGGGGACCATGCCTGGTGGCTGCTTTCTTCCTCCCATCTCTGCATTCCAAACGCACAGCTCAGCCTTCTGCATTGAAAGGAATGAGAAAACACTAAACAGCACGAAGACTGAGAATGGCCCCTTAAGCACACTCTGGGGACCCTCATTTCCAAAGGGTGGTGTGAGCCTTTTCCACAACGGTTGGGAATTATTTAATGGAATTCTCGCCATCCTTTTATCAAATTATTGCTCAGATTAGGCTGCAATTTTCTTCAAAGGGAAGCAGAAATTGCTCGTTGATAGCCTTGATTATAGAGACACAAATTTGTAAAATAAATTCTTTCTGCGGTAAAAGCAATCTCCGGTGGCCTTGGGAACTCGGGGACCAAGACCTTGCAGACGGGCCATGGCACGGCTCACGCTGGCCTCGGCGCAGTGATCGTCATGGCAGACACGCCACCATCCCATCATCCGGGATCTTAGTCATCCATGGAAACAAATGTGATCAGACCAAAGAAAGGGGTCAGAGGTCAAAGGCTACGATCCACACCCCTGCCCACTGCTTCCACACACATAGTAGCCATTTGAAAGTAACCAAGAGAGAAATCACCCCTGACTCACAAAGTCCCATCCACCTAGGACGCAGCTTCCCCATCTAAATTTTTCATTGCCCTGTGTAAGGCTAATCTCATTACAGAAAGGTTGTGAAATCGCGACTTTCTTAGACACCAAATGCAGAACCGCCCCTGGCTTTGGGATGCCGGGAGAAGAGCCTCACGCTAACACCGAGACCCCCGTGCCAACGGGAGGGGTCTGCACTCACCCTCACGAGCTGCTGCGGGAAGGGCCCGCGCGAGTTCTCGGGCACGTTGATGGGCGGGATGACCCAGTCCCGTTTGCGCCGCCTCAGCCCGTCGGCGCTCTGGTGCCGGGGCCACGGCAGCAGGGTGTCCTTCGGAGGCGGAGAGGGGTCCAGAGCCACGATCTTCTTTCCTTTCTGTGGCTTTATTTGGAAAAGGGAGAGAAGAAACAAAGAAGTCCAGTTAGGTTTTGCATAGAGGAAAAGGGTGTTTGCTAAGATGATCTGTACTGCCCGAGACTGAGAGGGAAGGCGGGTAAGGCTGGGACAAGGAGCTAAGTGGGAAAAGGAGTTAAGCGGGAAGGCGGGTAACCCTGGGACAAGGAGCTAAGTGGGAAGGGTGGGATAACACTAGAAAAGGAACTAAGTGTTAGGGAAAAAAAATCAAGTAAGATCCCCATCAATATGACAAGACAGATTACAAAATTAAATGCAGGAAAAAGAAACCATAAAAAAAGAAGAAAATATAGTTGACAATGTCACCAATAGTGTAGACAGGGCTTTTGACGCCCACCCAAAACAACGCAAGAGATGACAAAAGAAAAGACTAATATGTTTTCCCACAAAACTCCTGTTCATGAAAACAGACCCAAGAGGCAACTGACACATTTGGAAAACATGATTTACAACAGTTTGACATGAGGTTCATAGTCACTACATAAAGCACTCTTAGAAAGCAGGAAGAAAATAAAATGGAATCTTGTTTCCGAACAAGAAAAGGACATGAATAGATAATTCACAGCAAAACAAATATAAATGATCAATAAACTTATGACAACTGTCCACATCTCCCAGTAATCAAATAATGCATATCAAAGTAATACATCCTTTTTACCTGTCAGATTGACAAGGCTGAGCGAAATGAATCTGCAACACTGGGGGTGTGCAGTGAGTCAGTGGGTGGAGGCTGATGGCTGAGGGTGTGGGATTTGGCCTTAGACCCACATCTGTGTGGATGTGTCGAAGCTCATGTGACGTGGGGACCGAGTCCCTTCATCTCTCACAATCCTGGGATCTTCTCTTACGGAAGGGAGATGGTAGCAATGGCCCTGAGTTTAGGCACTGCTATGGGAATGACATCAGATGACAATGAGAAAATGACCAGGCCATGCTTAGCACAGGGCTCAGGCTGTCAGGACGGACACTGACACAGCTCCTGCTGCTGGGGTCCCGCGGTCACTCAGCACAGCCCTCTGCCTCCCGGTGGCCAGTGACTATCAAGAGCCTCAAAAAGGAAGGTCCCTTTTGACCCAATAACTCCACAGCTGGAAATCTGTCCCCAGGAAACTCTAGGTGGACCAAAGTCCTTGTAGACAGATGTTTACTGGGGATGTTTTTGAACAAGTAAAAATACCAGAGCACAAATCTGAATGTCTGTCACTGAATTCCAAATGCATTACACTGTGTTCATTTCTTGGAATATTATAGCCATTAAAAGTTACTCTTTTAAGACTGACATGAAGAAATGTCCATAAAATATTAGTAAGTGGAGAAATAGCACCAAAGCATACGTACAGCATCAACCGCAACTGCATTTTTTCTTCACTTTTTCTTTTTTCTTTCTTATTTTTTTTTGAGATGGAGTCTCATTGGGTCACCCAGGCTGGAGTGCAGTGGCACGATCTTGGCTCACTGCAACCTCTGCCTCCCGGGTTTAAGTGACTCTCCTGCCTCAGCCTCTCAAGTAGCTGGGATTACAGGAGCCAGCCACCACATCTGGCTAAATTTGTATTTTTAGATTAGGGATGGGTGTTTTGGCCACGTGGCCATTGCTGGGTCTCAAACTCCAGACCTCCGGTAATCCGCCCCGTGTTGGTGCCTTCCAAAGTGCTGTGGGATTACAGGCGTGAGCCACCACGCCAGCTTCAACTACGTTTTTTAAAGATAGAAAAGAAGCTGGGTGCAGTGGCTCACACCTGTAATCCCCAGCACTTTGGGAGCAAGGCAGCCAGATCACCCGAGGTCAGGAGTTCAAGCCCAGCCTGACCAACGTGGTGAAACCGCATCTCTACTAAAATATAAAATTAGCCAGGTGTGGTGGTGTTGTGCCTGTAATGCCCAGTTACTTTGGGAGGCTGACACAGGAGAATCACTTGAACATGGAGGCGGAGGTTGCATGAGCCGAGATTGTGCCATTGCATTCCAGCCTAGGGAAAAAAGCGAAACTCTGTCTCAAAAAAAAAAAAAAAAAAAAAAAGAAAGAAAAATGTAAGAAAATATATGAAAATGCACACACTGGTCTTCTCTGGTCACCACGGAGTTCTGTTATCGTATTTTACTTCCTTCCTTTTACCTTTCTGTGTTTTCTAAACGTGACAGTGCACGTGACTCCCATGGCTGACAGTGCCAACAGAACTTCACGCACACATGTGGCGTCCATGCGTCTGCAGCGTCGGGTCCAGTGCAGGTTGCCCACATGGCATGCCTTGCCACAGTCTTCGTGGCTGATGCTCATTTCATCTGAACTGCAGAGGCACTAGGATATGAGAGTTCACACGGCAGAGAATAGACCTTGCACCAGGGCAGCCCAAGGCAGGGAGGACAAAGCTGGCTGGGAGGTGTCTGACCACAGGCTGCCCTGCCAGGCACGGCGGGGGTCCCCACCACTGTTTGCCTCAATTAATAAAACCCAGGAGGCTTCCATGGGGGCGCTCCCAGCCTTCCTTAGAAAGGAGCCATGTGAGGTGCAAACATGGAGACCCAGGGGCCTTGACTCCAGGCCCTCATGATGACAGGGGGCGGGGGCTTTTCTAGGCTCCTCAGGGGACTTTGAAGAACTTCAAGGACAGTCCTAATTGCACATTTTCCCTGGAACCCAGAGCACAGACAACTGGACTCCATGGTTTCCTCGCCCAGACCAGTAGCCGCTGCCTCACAGGTACTGAATGTCCGATGAGCATGAGAGCAGGACTCTGCATCTGGCCCTTCCACTGAAGATATCTCACTTGTCCTCCAAGACCAAGCCCCAGACAGATGGCACCTCCCTGGGAGCATGGTCTTTACCTTGCGGATACAACAATTTAGGTTAATAAGCTCTAAGCTTTGATGAGAAAGACCAGATTAATCCCACTGCTCAAAGTGGCTTGAAATGACGTCAACATAGCCAACACGAACAATGATAGCAGCTGTGGTGTGCACTCAGGTTCCAGGTTCCAGGCCTAATGCTGTTCCATGCAGTCTCCCCCTGAATCCTCCCTCTCACCACTTCAGCGGGGAGCACCGTCATTCCCACTTTCCTACCATGCAAGGCCAAAGGCACTTGTGAAGCCCACAGAGCTCGTTCAGCTGAGGCGGGATTCAGATGCCAAGAGTGTGACCCCAAGGCCAGAGCACCTGGAAGTGCCACCCCTCCCTTCTGTGGTCTCTGCTTGTGAAGTCAAATCCCATTTGCCGGACCTCAGGAAGGTCCCGGACTGGGCAGAAATCGATCTTCCCATGGAAAAGATAGAGAACCAGGGGAAAAGGGGGTCTGAGTGATGTTTCCTGCACCCACCCGGGCTGTGCTCTGTAAATCCCAGGCTGGGGAGAAACAGGTCTGAGGTCCCAGGCTGGTCCCAGGAGCAGCAGCTCAGCACCCTGGGGAGCTCATTAGGAATGCAGGTTCCTAGGTCTCATCTAAGACTTAACAACTCTGGGGTGGGGCCGCCAACCACACCTGAGATGTACTGCAGGTAGAGAACAGGGGGTCTCCCAGCCCAAAGGCAACCAGGGGTCCACCTCTGGAGAAGGGTGGTGGAGCATTATTTTTGTTCCTGAGCAGGTCTGCATGAGGGAGGAGAGCCTGGACAGATCGCTCCCAGATGAGGGCGAGGGGAGCTCTGGTATAGCTGCTAGGAGGGGCCTTCTGGCCGTCTGCAGCTCCCCACATCTCCCAGCGGGAGACCGAGGCGGAGACTGGCTGGTCTCTCCCACCTGGTGCTGCTTCAGAACCGGTAGCGGCTCACCAGGGCCCTCTGAATCTCTAACTTTGAGTTTTAAAGGGTTTTCATGCAGCCGTTTTAAAAAAAATCCTTCATTTTCATTTGCTTAGGATGAGCTTGCAATGACGTTAATTTCCCTAGTGTTGTTTAAATAAATTGCACATATTTGCTACTATTTTAAAGCTGTGAGACAAATGTAATAACAAAATCTGGTGAAAATCAATGCCAGACCTGCACGGGCTTCTGCCTGGAAGATGCACCCGTTTCCCTGGAAGAAAATGTCAGCCACAATTAGCACTCACCCTGGTCGAACAAGCATGTTCTTTTGAACACGCAGTCATCTTGGGCCCATTCAGAAGACATCACATAAACACTGACGCATAATTATACTCATTAAAAATAATGCTTCCAGTTATGCTTAAAAATATTTTCTAACAGATGACACCTGCTGATTTTCCCTGGTGCACGTCTTTCTTCTGTATTTCTGAGTGAATGAAGACTGAGCATTGGGTAATGACTTAAAGGTGACCTTGGCCGGGCACGGTGGCTCACGCCTGTAATCCCAGCACTTTGGGAGGCCGAGGCGGGCAGATGATGAGGTCAGGAGATCGAGACCATTCTGGCTAACATGGTGAAACTCCATCTCTACTAAAAATACAAAAAAAAATTAGCTGGGCATGGTGGCGGGCACCTGTAGTCCCAGCTACTCGGGAGGCTGAGGCAGGAGAATGGCGTGAACCCAGGAGGCAGAGCTTGCAGTGAACCGAGATTGTGCCACTGCACTCCAGCCTGGGGGGACAGAGCCAGACTCTGTCTCAAAAAAAAAAAAAAAAAAAAAAAAAAAAGAAAGTGACCTCTACTCCACCATTACCGGAAACTAGATAATACACATGTGCACATGTGTATACAGGTGCTATGCACACATGTATGCATGCATGTACGCACATGCACATACAGATATATATGAATGCACACGTCAAGTATGCACAGATGTATGGGTGTATGACATGTACACACATGCACAAATGCATGTGTATGAATACGTGTTTATGCCTTCTACACATACACAGGTATGCATATGCTTATGTGTGTTTGTGTATCTGTGTGTGTGTATAGAGCACATCACAACTTTCTCAAAACCAACAGCCCAGCAGCAAGATATCTTGGCCATGCCCACTCCCTGCATGCTGACAGTTTAGCTCAAGCTAGAAGTCCTGTAACTAG